AGTCAGAACGTGCTGATAATGGACCCCAGTTCTACAGGAACGATGCAGCGGATACAGAGTGAAAAGAGCATCCTGGATGAACCAGACTCTCCTCTCGAGGTCAGTTATAAATCTGGTTTCACGGCATGTTAAGGTATTTTAAAAGTTCATAGATTATATATAATATACATTTTCAATCATTGATGGTTTAAGATAACTGCAAAGGTACATTGCCTATTTATTTATTAATTCAGTGCATTAAACATTGAGCACATTTTCAGTGGGCAATCTGGTTTTCCCTGAAAGAGTTTTTCTAATGCAGCTGTTACGATTTCCATATAAAATATTGTTAGATTATCTCTTTAAAAACTTCTGACTGAGAAATTTCATTTGTCCCTTCATCGGCAACAATGTTTCATGCACCGATTTCTTGCTCTTCCGTGACAACAGGCTGAATCATCACCTCACTTTTTTTTAAGTAATCACTTCAATGTCTTAATAGATAGTACGATTTCCCCAAAGAACAGAATTAGTTTTGCCTGATTTTGCACATTCATTATCTCCTCACGAATGCACGGTAAATCATTTTATAAATCATTCCCATCGATTGGCACGTCATCATTTCAGCACCAAGAACAGCGATATTATTAAACTTTCTTTTGTCCTTCCCATGCCCAATTATATTTTTAGTGAGGTACTTATACATTTTAACGTACGTTTATTCTTGTTGTAGTTTTTTGTGAAAATGTACTTCTTGCAGTAATTGACAGGGTGCTTTGACTGATTTTTTGATTATAAAGGAGAAAAAAAAGAACAAAATAGAAATACATTTGAACCGTAAACTGTGTTGTAGTGTGCAATCGACGATTACAACGTGGATTGTGTTGTTTCTCTCCAGCTCTCTCTGTCTCTGTCTCTGTCTTTCTCTTTCTCTCTCTCTCCCTCACTCTCTCGCTCTCTCGCTTCAATTTCTTGTATTATTTACTTAAAATCTTACTTGTTACACTTAGCTAACAGCAAGTCTTTTGAACAGTGTAATTTAGGGAGCTGTTGTGCAGTTTTCTGTTATGAACTCTTAGGGCCGCTGTTGACCAGAGTTTTGACGGATGGGAGCAGGGTTATAGCAGCTGAGTACCTCCCATATACGCCCGCATAACGAGGACGGGGTATTACGAGAACGATCAGGCATTCTCGATCCGCAGAATTTCAGATTAAAAATACGACGATTTAAGACTATTCGATGTACAGAGGACTGTAAAGCTACAAGACTGACGTCTGACTTTGGAACTCCTTTCACTCAGCTGGATGCATGTTCGCGTTGTGGAGCATCGTTGATAAAATCCTAGGGTAGGACAATGAAAGGGCCTGCGCTGTTGTGTTTTGCTCTCCTTTCCTTTGGCTCGGTAACTGGACAAGTCAGCTATACAATACCGGAGGAAATCTACAGTCACTGAGAATTCACCTAAAGGAACAGTTGTTGCTACTGTTACAGCGTCAGACGCAGAGCAAGGTTCGAACAGTAAAATAACATATTCAATCACAAACAAAGTGGATGACGTCAGGAAAGTCTTTAACATAAACAAGGAGAACGGCGAAGTGACTTTAATTGGGAATACTGACTTCGAGGATTCACGAGGTTTTCAGTTAAGTTTACGTGCTAGTGATGTTGGAGGACTAACAGATTCCTGTAAACTGATTGTTGATGTTCTGGATTTAAATGACAACAAACCTGAAATCAACATAATGTCTAAGTCGACTGTGATTTCGGAGGATGCTAAACTCAATACAGTTGTTACAATGATAAACGTTGAAGACAGGGACACTGGAGAAAGAGGGAATGTTCAATGTTCAGTTAGTGATAGTGTACCTTTCATTTTGAAATCATCAACAAATCACTTCTATACCTTAGTAACAGACAGTGATTTAGACAGAGAGAGAGCCTCTGAGTATAACATCACTGTGACCTGCTCTGATGATGGAGTGCCCTCCCTCTCCAGCAGCGTCACTCTCACCTTACAGATTTCAGACGTTAATGATAACGCACCTGTCTTTGAGAGGAGCTCATATGAGGCCTACATTGTAGAAAACAACACACCAGGTCTCTCTATATTTACAGTCAAAGCCTCAGACGCTGACTGGAACCAGAATGCCCGTGTTTCTTACATACTGGAGGACTCCTCCGTTAACGGCGTGCCAGTCTCCTCATATGTGTCTGTTAGTGCTGATAGTGGAGTCATCCATGCAGTGCGCTCTTTGGATTACGAGCAGATCAAAGATTTCCACTTCCGCGTAAAAGCGCAGGATGGAGGCTCTCCTCCACTCAGCAGCAACGTGACTGTGAAAATAATGATCCGGGACCAGAACGATAACCCCCCTCAGGTTCTGTACCCAGTCCAGACTGGTGGCTCTCTGGTGGCTGAAATGGTGCCTCGTTCAGCAGATGTGGGCTATCTGGTGACTAAAGTGGTGGCTGTTGATGTGGACTCTGGACAGAATGCCTGGCTCTCCTATAAACTGCAGAAAGCCACAGACAGGGCGCTGTTTGAAGTGGGCTTACAGAATGGAGAAATCAGAACTATCCGCCAAGTCACTGATAAAGATGCTGTCAAGCAAAGACTGACTGTTATAGTGGAGGACAACGGGCAGCCCTCTCGTTCAGAGAGAGAGAGAGAGAGAGAGAGAGAGCAGCCCAAGGTTAAAGTTACTTTAAAAATGTCTCTAAACCAACCTTCCAGAGGCGTGAATATGATCCGTATTATTTGGTAATGGATTTCCGTGTGCGTTTTCAGTATAAATATTACCATTTGACTTGGTATTTTTGTGACTTATTTTAAAAAGAAAAAACCTTCATGTTGGCTGTCTGCAGTTTTCTAAGGTGAACTCTTAGGGCCGCTGTTGACTAAATTGTCAACAGCCGAGTAGGGTTATAACAGCAACTCCCTCGTAACGTCGGTATAGCGAAGAAAGAACAGAACGACAAAGGACGGCCTCGAGATATACACAGTATTTGGATGCAAAGGACATCGACCGTTTTAGTACATTTTCTCATGTGTGGATGATAAACGTGCGAAATTGAAGTTTGACGTTTAAAGCGTGATTTGTAGGATATTATCACAGTGAACATCCATTGGCAAAATCGCATAAAACAATGGCAAGGCAAGTACTCCTGTTTATCTCTCTTCTCGCCGTCGGCTCGGTGCTCGGACAAGTGAGCTATACAATACCAGAGGAAATGACTAAAGGATCGTTAGTTGGTAATATAGCACAAGACTTGGGTTTACAAATCAAACGGTTGACTTCAGGTAAGGCTCGGATTTATGCTCGAGACACCGATCAGTACGTCGAGCTGAACAGAGAAAGAGGAGTCCTCCTCGTTAAAGAAAGGATCGACAGAGAGGCGCTGTGCAAACAGACGACGCCGTGTGCTCTACATTTTCAGATCATTTTGGAGAATCCGATGGAATTTTATACGGTTACAGTGCAGATCACAGATATCAATGACAATGCACCTACTTTTAAAAAAACTAAAATCATTTTCAAAATTAGCGAAACGGCGCTCATCGGGGCAAAATTTGTTCTGGAAAGGGCTGTGGATCTGGATGTTGAAATGAATAGTGTTCAGTCATATGAGTTAAAACCAAGTGACAATTTTGCTCTCAAACTGCACAGCAACTCTGATGGAAATAAAAATGTTGAGATGGTACTACAGAAACCTTTGGACAGAGAGAAACAAGAGCAGATATCCCTCGTGTTAACAGCTGTAGATGGAGGGGAGCCACAGATGTCAGGAACAATGCAGATTCTCATTACAGTTTTAGACGCTAATGATAATGCTCCGGTTTTTACACAGCAAACATACAAAGCTACAGTCACTGAGAATTCACTTAAAGGAACAATTGTTGCTACTGTTACAGCGTCAGACGCAGATCAAGGTTCGAATAGTAAAATAACATATTCAATCACAAATGCAGCAGATGATGACACCAGAATATTTGAGATTAATGAGGAAAACGGGAATGTTGTATTAATTGGAATAATTGACTATGAAAAGTCAAGAAACTATCAAATAAATTTACTTGCTAGTGATGATGGTGGACTCACGGATTCGTGCAAATTAATTGTCGATGTGCAAGATGTAAACGACAACAAACCTGAAATCAACATAATGTCGAAGTCAGCTGTGATATCAGAGGATGCTAATCTCAACACAGTAGTTACGATGATAAACATTGAAGACAAGGACTCGGGGGAAAACGGAAAAGTGCAGTGTTTTATGAGTGATAACGTACCTTTCGAATTAAGAGCATCTTCAAATAATTTCTATACCTTAGTAACAGACAGTGATTTAGACAGAGAGAGAGCCTCTGAGTATAACATCACTGTGACCTGCTCTGATGAGGGAGTGCCCTCCCTCTCCAGCAGCGTCACTCTCACCTTACA